GAGACCTGAAGACTTCCCTCGTAGGGAAGGCTGATAACAATTCCTTAAGTTAAGGAGTCTCTTTGCCAAAGATCCCTGCAAGAAGTAGGGACTAAGTCCCCACCTGATAAGGAACAAACTTTCACAAAACTAACACATTTGAAACACAGAAATAAGCAGTGTCAAGACCAAGAGAGGCCTGATACTCCTGTCCTTACCTGAAGAACTCATGAGACAATAAGCTGGACAGTGGTGGACGACACTTTGGGTCTGGATTCAGCAGTGTGCAGTGCAAGGTTTGCTGAAAGCTGGAGAGAATATCTGCTGAAACTGAAATCCAAAGCACCTACAGTTAGGTTTCTCTCTCAGCACTGAACAGGTCATGTTTAGGAGTCCTCCATCCTCCCCCAAACTTATTCTTAGCCCTAATTGATAGCAAAATTGCAAAAAGAAGGGAAAATAGCATTTCCATTGCTCTTCCTAAGCTGTTTACTGGGGTTCCAAGGAGTATTATTGTCATCCCAAGAAGCTTCCTGCTCTCTCCCTGCTGGAAGGTGGCAGCTCCTGCTCAGCTGAGCACCCACATAATGTGTCCATAACCCTTGGTGAGATGGCTGGTGGGATGGGGCCAGAGCAGGTTTGGGAGTGCTGTCTCAGACGGACTGGTGAGCTCCAGCCACATCTGACCACGTCCAAATGCAGGAAAAGGGGAGCACAGGAGAAGCCAAGGTCTGCCTTCAGCTCAGCAAACACTGAGAACACCACTGGCCACTGAACCCACAGCACACCTGCCACCTGTACAACAGGTGAACAGCTTGAGGCACACAGGGACCTGCCAGCAGCTAAATCAACAGGGGCCATTCCTCACCCTCATCGTTGAGCACTGTCAGCAGGTTTTCAACTGTTGTCCCAAAGGCATAGGCATCCCTTGCATGCCCGTGGCTGCTGGGCAGAATCTTGAAATCTGCAGACTGAAAATAAAACCAAAACCATCAGCCAAGCAGGAGCTTAAGAAATATTGGTAGTTTCCATAAGCCTCTATTCCCCCATGACATACAATCTCCAATTCTTTTTATAGCACCTAAGTTCCACTCTGTACCCTACAAGTGGAGTATTATACTAAAAAACCTCCACCAGGGAATTTATAACCCAAAGGAGCAACTGCATCACGATGGAACAAATCCCCAGTGGATGTATGCAGGCAACAGCTTCTAGCTTTTCTATGGAAACGGGCGATAATTAAAGAGCACTCCTTCAGCACAAGCAACTCCTAGGATGCTCAGTGGGTAGGAAGTGACTAACAGGTGGACAAAAGGCTTTTATCAGAGCTACACAACCGTGGGGCACAGTGATCTGAGCAATCTCAGCAGCCACTCTGTCATTTTTGCAAAGCTTTGGTGATTTCAAAGCATCAAAGCTGCAACACAAGATGTTTGAAAAATATTATTCCCTATGCCCAACAACATTCCTAAACCAGGGATGGGATAGAAGTGGGGAAAAAGGAAGAGAGGAAACCTCAGGTATCATCCAAGATACCTGGACATTCCATGTCATTCAGGCATAAGGACATAAAACATATGAATGAAAAACTATTTCCTGACCATCACATTTAATTTGTTGCCAGCAGGAAGTTCCCTGAGCAAGTGATATTACTTACCATCTCCTCGCAAGGGATGCACGACTGGTCTCGTACTGACTTGACATGAGAGAGGAACTGGAAGGAGAAGAAGGGAGACATGAGCTGCCAAGCAGCAGAGCAGGCTGTTCCCACAGGCCAGAGCTGACAGGTGCCAGAAGCTCTGCCCTGCCCCTTTTGCTGGCACCCAGGACAGCTGTGCTTTCCCCTGCCCAGAGGGGAAGCACCAGTGGACCAGGTGTGAAGCACAAAGCAGTTCCAGGGCCTCACAGCCTACTTATCCCACTAGTCCTCAGTCCTATCACCTTGCATCATCCACTTGCGCAGGGAAAGGATCTCAGGAGCTTTAGCAGTCAGGTTTTACTGCAATGCTCTTTGCATTATTGTGCACCACCACGCACACCAGTTGTGTGTGTGCCTGATCCCCTGTGAAAGGTGATCCATGCCAGGGACACACCACACAGTTTGTGAAGGATTTGTAGATCCTCTGAGAGAAAAGGCAATATGCATCAGTGACACAGTGCCAGGCTGCAGCAATGACTCTGCACAGCATGCAGCACAAATCAAACCCAGAACTGTTCTGCTAACAAGCAGTGAAGGTGCCACCAGCAAAAGCTAAGGAGTCATTTAAATTATTTTCCTTATTGATCCACTTCAGCCTGGATCTTCCTGCTCCACACTAAGGCTTTTTTTTTTGTTTGCTTTTAAATCAGTTCAGAGGAGCAAAGATTTCTCATCCTCCAGCCAGCAGTGTCTCTTAGAAAAGTAACTTTTTGGCTAATGGGGAATTAGTTTGTTCAGATGATGTAATTTTATAGTTACAGTGTCCTTAGAGTAAAGGTTCAGGTCAGAGCTGGAAGTGAGCCAACACACTTAAGTGTAAATTCAGCTAAGTGGAAGGACTTGGGCTTTCACATCCATAGATGGCCACTTTCCACAGGCCAGGAATCCTCTCCTGGGCATCAGAGGGTGAACTTGGCTTTGGCTCTTACCTCTGGGGTGGCTTCACTGAATTTACAGACTGTTTCCATTCCTCCCAGCTTCCAGTGCCCATCCTCGCTTACAAACACGGATGATAAACAGACATTGTTATGTGTTAGGTTTCCCTAAAACATAAAAAGAAGGATAACAGACTTGGGGGATAGATGAAAATGCAAAATCTTAATCAGCACTAATTAGGTGGTGCAAGGGGCTGAGGGAAAGTTGCCAAAAAGCACAGAGCTCCTCTGGGATTTTGTAGGTGACTAGCAGGTGCTGGGCAGGAGGGTTTGAGAGCAGACAAAGCTCTAATTGTCACAGCCCCTGCAATGCAACTGTAAATCCAGGGAAGTCCTTCAACTATGAACACAAAGCCCTAGAGCTACAGTCTGAGCTGGGGTTTAACTGCAGGCCTGGACAAACACACAGTGCCCAAACAGGGGAGCAGTGACAACAACCTCTGACACAAGGGAACAGCTGTAAACAAATGGCAAAGCTGAGCAATCCCATTGCCCTAAAGCAAGAAGCACTGCAAGCAGATTCATGACCTGAGAACTGCTTGCTCCCTTCCAAATCCCACACCATGTTCCATTACCCTCCCCACTATAAAGCAGGCAATTATTTTCACAGTTTCAGCCTAAAAGAAGTGTGGGGCATGTGTCTGTCTGTTTGGGAGGGCTCAGGACTGAGACAGTCATCCAGACAAACCCAGGTACAACGTTCTCCTGTTACATTTCATCCATCTCCCATCAAAGCCTGATGATTGCTGTCAGTGGTACCTACCCTGTCATGGAGGAAGATGAGTGCCAGCAACACATCGTAGATCCCTGCGCAGATTTCTGCAGAAGAGAGTGTCTCCAGGACCATCTCCAAAGGCTTCACCCGCTCTGTAACCAGGTGGATCCCATTTGCTTCCACAGTACAAGAGAGGAAGCGCAGAAGGCAAGGGTGGCGCAAGGTTTTCAGGTGCTTCCAGAAACAGAGACATCTGTTAGATCTCATCCAAGGCCTCTCCTTTGGCTGTAGAGCTTAGTCCTGTACTCTGCCATGTTTTCTACCTGAATTTAGACAGCTCATCCCTGCCCTTCACCAAGCACCCAGCACATTTGCTCACTGCAGAACTTTTTATAATACAGCAAAATAGAATCACAGAATGGTTTGGGTTGGAAAGAACCTTAAAGATCATCTAGTTCCAACCCCCCCCTTCACCTACAACAGGTTGCTCAAAGCCCCATCCAACCTGGCCTGGAACACTTCCCGGGATGGGGCAGCAGCCACAGCTACTCTGGGCAACCTGTGCCAATGTCTCAGCACCCTCACAGGGAAGAATGTCTTCCTAATATCTAATTTAAGCCCGCCCTTTGTCAGTTTGAATCCATTCTCCTTTGTCCTGCCACTTCTTCCCCTTGTCCTGACACTCCATGCTCTTGTAAATAGTCTCTCTCTCCATCTTTCCTGTAGGCTCCGTTCAGGTACTGGAAGGAGAAAGTCTTCTGAACATCGTTTCCCACCACTGCTCACAGCACACAAGGAGCTCTGCAGCTGCCAACCCCCTTCTGCCCCCTGCACAGCCAGGGTCAGCTTCCATCCTTCCTCCAGCCCTCAGTCCCCCCATGGGTTTGACCCTGGCTAACCAATTCCCACTCTTCCAAGAAGGAGGAGGGACAGCTGTGCCAAGTCTATCCCAGGCACTCTCTAGTACCTTGGCAGCTTTATTAACCTTATCCTCGTTCTCCCTCTTGTACACAAACACGGAAGCGAGTTTGCCATCCTGGAGCACAGCTGGATAAATGGTGTGTCCTGTGGGCAGTGTGAACGGAGACTCTTCCAGTGTGTAGCTCTTCAAAGCACTGTTCTCCGAGCCCATCACTTGCAGAGTTCACCACTGCAGAGGTGACCTTAGGGAGAAGGAAGACTTTTTCCAGGTGAGGTCCAGTTCCCCCTCAAAGCATTTTCTGCAAAGCATGAAAACAGCCATGAAGAACCTCTTCCTGCCACCACCTCCTTCAGCGTAAGGACAAGAATCAAATCCACAATGTTTATTTTGTAAAGGAAACCAAATGCCCACAGAAGGTTTCAGATCGACAGATGAGCAACTCTCAGCTGACACACAGTACAGCACCCCCAGCTGATCCCTGACCTGGATACCAAACCAAAGCAGGATCCACCAACACCCCCAGCCACACACACACCCACTCCACGGGTTTAATTCACAGACAGCAGTTAGGAACTGCACCTGCCAATGCCTCAGGGCACAAGGAGCCCCATCACTATTCCTCAATTCTCCAAGCCAGAGGGGATTTCAGCATAGGAGAAAGGATTTGAGGGTGGATTTCAGGAGGTTACCTATAAGCAGGTAACCTCCTCCAGCAGCATGCTTTTCCCTTCTCTCCATCTGACAAATATTCCACCTGCCTGCCAACCCTTCCTGCCTCCCACAGCCTGTCAGGAAGAGGCTGACACAGATTTCTGTGCTGCTTCCTCACGTACAGAACTGGTAAAACAAACACGCTGATTGCAGAGGCTCTTTTGGAAAACACTGACCGGGCACATGCTCTGTCATCAGCCTTGTGATCACAGGCTCAGGGCGAGACCCTGAAACCAGAAGTCAGCAAACCTTCACCAGCAATGAGGAGAGAGCAAACTCTCAGTTTTCAGGAAAAGTGAGGGGAAAAGTGCTTCACCACCCTCACAGTAATGAATTTCTTCCTTATATCTAGCTTAAATTTCCCCTCTTCAGTGTGAAGCCATTCCCCCTTGTCCTATCACTACAGCTCCAGAGTCCCTCTCCTCCCCTGTGGCCCCTTCAGACACTGGAATGTTGCTCTGAGGTCTCCACACAACCTTCTCCAGGCTGAACAGCCCCAACACCCACAGCCTGTCCTCATACGGGAGGTGCTCTAGTCCTCTTATCAACTTCACAGCCTCCTCTGGACTTGCACCAACAGTTCCATGTTCCTCTTATGCTGAACATTGTAACACCAAAGTCATTCTCATAACTGTGATCCACCTGAGTGCTGCTGTACAGCAACTAGCCCCAAACACACATCCCCTCCTGGGAGGAGCCCAACAACTCTGAAGTACCAAACACTTCACACAGCCAAGTGACTACAGCAGCCTGTGGAACCACGAGCTATGCTTTACAGCTTCTTTTTGGCTATTAAAACTCCAACAGGCAAAAGCACCTGCCAAGGTGTATGCCCAGGTGGGGCCAAAAACCACTGACAAACTCTGATGCTGAAATAAACCATCACTCACACAATGACACTGTGCAAGGCCCACACATGCTGTGTGAGTTAGGAGCATTACCCACATTATATCCCTTTCCTATCTTACTGTCAATCAACTGTAAACATGAACATTAGGTGTAACACACAGCACACCTCGGGATGGAATCATGGAATATAATTTTACGTGTTGGAATGGACCTTATAGGTTATCTAGTCCCAACCCCCTGCCACGAGCAAGGACATCTCCACACCAGACCAGGCTTTATCCAACCTGGCTTTCAACACTAATGGATGGAGAGGAGCCCAGCAGGGAAAGCCAGAGGGACTGGTAGTTAAGGACAATTTGGGTCTGCTCCCATAAAGAGCTGAAATTCCAATTTAGCTTCTTTGTGGAGTGACAACACCTGCACACAGGGTGTTCACCCGAAACACACATGCTGAGCACTGCACAGCCCAGAGAGAGGTAACTCACGGCCTCCCACTCACCCTCCCCTCACGTCCCAGGCCAGCAGAGCCCCTGGAAGTGCTCTCAGAGGTGCTGGAGGCTTTGCTCCCACAGGCAGAGCTTCCCCAACAGGACACCGACAAGGGCTGGAGAGGGACTGTTAGGAACTGCAGTGATAAGATAAGAGGTCAGGGCTTTAGGTTGAAGGAGGGGCAATTTAGGCTAGATATTAGGAAAAAGTTTTTCCCTGCGAGGGTGGTGAGACACTGTCCCAGGTTGCCCAGGGAGGCTGTGGCTGCCCCAACCCTGGCAGTGTTCACAGCCAGGTTGGATGAGCCTTGAGCAACCTGCTCTGGTGGGAGGTGTCCCTGCCCAGGGCAGGGGGATAGGACTATGATCTCCAAGCTCCATTCCAACCCCTAAAATTCCATGATTCCATGACACCTGCGAACACCCACCCGGCACGAGCAGAGCCACGCACGGGGCAGGTGGGCTAGCAGCAGCTTCCACGGGAAGAAATCC